CCCCCCCCCCCCCCAAAGAAATCAGAGCAGCCATGTCTGCTCTTATCTCTCAGGACCATTTACAGAGTCACTTTTAAATAACTCTTTTTAGTGACCAAATCTCACAGCAAGCGACAAATTGGCACCATGCTACTGCCTGCTCTGTGGCCACTGATGGGACACTGCTGGGTGTCACTAACATTGGGCTTTCCCCTGCTCTGGCAGACACCAGCAGCTTCTTCAGCTTTGCAAGTTTCCACTCAGAGAATTGCTCCCAAGCTCCCTCTTCCACCAATGCACCTTAGTCCTTGCCCTAACCCACCAGCTGCTCCTCATGTCCAGAGTGTTTTTTTCCGGGTGAAAGATTTGAGGGGACTATCAGACCCCTTGGCATCCCTGCTGCAGCAACAAGAGAGACAAGTGCCTCTAACACACTCACACTGCAGCTGGCTCCCACCCAGAGGTGCAGCTGTGGTTTGGAGTGGACCAGCGATGCCCTCAGACACCCAAACCCTGACCCAGAACACTGGTTCTCATCTGCCAGCGTGCAGAACAGGCTGGATGAGGTCCAAGGGAAGAGCTGAGGCTCCATTCCCACAAAGGAAAGGGCAGTTCTGTAACTTGGAGCACCTTTCACAGTTGTCTTCCCTGGCTCAGAACCAGCTCTTGACGCTCCCAGCACATCAGCTTCCAAGTCGTCCAAGTCCTCAAAAGCAACAGGACGGCAATGGGAGCAGGGCGAGTGCTACTCCTGCCTCAGCACCGCTTCTCCCTTCAGAGGTTGGTGCTGGGGGCCATGGCTGCAGCCCACGTGGGGCTCAGGCAAAGGCTATTTCTGCACTGACCGTCAGGCTCTGCAGCAGACCTTGGGGCTCTCCACTGGAGACTCTGGATCCCTGCATGACAAGGAGGGCAGAGATCAGAGACAAGCAGAATTTGCAAACTCCTCACCCCTTGATTCCATGCTCCAGTCCCCGGTTTTCTGGGAGTTTGTTTGGAATGGCAGAACACACGCCCAGCTCCTCCGGGTGTGCCCCTCACTGGAAACCCCCCATGCCTTGATTCCTTTGCTGAGATCCTACTGCCTCTGGGAGAAGCGTCGGGAACACCCAGGCCAGTGCTTTGGCTGAGGGTCCTTCCTGCGACTCTTCCTCCAAAGGGCACCCAGCAGGGCTTTGCTCCAGCTCACCCAGGGCACCCGCAAGCCCTTCTCCCACCATCCACCTGTTCCCCCAGTCTGGCTCCCCCACAGCCATGCCAGAGAGGGGTCACCTCTTCAGCCACACCTCATGGTTCCCACACGATATCCCACTGCTGACTTGGCTGGGCTGACACCAGGGCCAAACCTGGCCCTGCTCAGTCCCATCCCTTGGGGTACCCAGGCTCTCTCCCAAAATCTGGACTCACCTCTGCACCTTCCAAGTCATCTGCAAGGAATCTATTGAAGAAATCCTCCACCACGTGGGACCTGTGACACAAGCCATGGGGGTCAGCAGCAGCACCTGTGAGCTTGGCCAGGGCACGTTGGGGACAGCCAGGTTGGGTGGCAGCAGGCGGAGGGCACCGCACGGGCACACCGCGGCAGCCATGTCGTGCAGCAGAAAAGGAGGTGAAAATAGCACCAGCATAAAAGATGGGAGTGCTGGGACTGCTGCAGTTCAGCAAACAACTCTCTTAAGGCACATGTACAGGAGATGTACAGGGCTGGGCACACCCAGCTCTCACTACAAAGCTTCAGGCTCTGGGCTCTCAGTTCCCAAAGGCATCACCAGTAACTCGCCTTCCCGGGCAATCGCTGTCGGGGCAGGGTGCGTGGGGGAGATGATGAGGACAGGGCAGGTCACAAGGACTTGGGGAGCACAGAGAGATCTCCAAGAACAAGAGCCTGCATCTGAAAGGCACTCACTTCTGGTTGGCCACTGAGCTGGTGCCCCGGGCTCTCCCACTGCTGCCCCTGGCCGGACGGAAACTTCTTGTAAAAGTCACGGGGCTTTCGTCTGGAAACAAGACAGGGAGACGTGAGGATGATGGACACGGGCATATTCCTGGCCTGGGCACCCCAAAGCGGGATTTGTTGACTCTCCACAGGACACAGAGGCTTTCAATCAGAGATGAACTTCACTCGGCCTCCCCAAGCTGATGTCCAGCCTATTCCATGGCCTCTGACTCTGGGAAACCCTTCTTGCTCCTTCCTCCCCCCTCACAGCTGGAGCCCCCTCAGAGATCACTGGCTGCTGCACCAGCACCTCCTGCTCCCAGCAGGGCAGCAAGAGGACAACGATGCTGCCCTTTCAGCTGCAAAGAAGGTTCCTTTTACCGTCCTCATATCCCAGGAGGTCGTCAAGCAGGTCATCGACAGACTCTGAAACCAGACACATGAAAGGTGTTGAGGCAGGGGAGCTCACCATGCAGGCGCAGACAAGTTCCCAGTTTCAGTATGCCTTGCTCTTTTGAAATCCCCCAAGCATAAAGCTTTGGTCTCAATCACCATCAGCATAACGCCTTCCTAGAGAGAACTGCCAGCACTTGACTCAGTATTTTGAGGATAATAGAGTTCACTTCATTTAGCCAGAACAGAGATCTCTCTATCAAGCATCCAGCGGCTTCCTATTCAGTCACTGGCCACAAGCAGCCCTTCAGAGGGCAGCTCTCGCCCCACAGCGTCTCAGAGTGCCTGGGCAACCCCAAAGGCCCCACTTCAGTGTCCGGGGCTGCAAGAAGGCCCCAGACAAGCACCTGGGCTTTAGGTGAGGCGAAGAACTGAAATAAAGGCAGATATTCTGCCCTGGATTAGGGAAAGCACGCAGGAAAGGACTAGAGGACCCCGATAAGAAAACCCCCTCGGCGACAGAGGCAGGGGACTGTCTCTGGTTCAGGAATGAGATGACGCCCTCAACTGCATCTCTCAGTCAAGGACCCAGACCCATCGCCGTACCCTGGACCCTCACCCGAGCCCGCTGCCCCCAATTCTGGCCCCGCATTCCCACCACAACAAAGCACCGACGGACACCGAAGGGAACGCGCCCCAGGGTACGAACCGTGGAAACTGCTCTGGAGTTTCGTAGCCTACGGAGAAAGATAAATTCCTTCGTTAGAGAAAGGCACGGGTCTGGCTGCTCCTCGCCTCGCCTTGCGCGGGGGAGCCGCCGCCGCATCACCTCGCCTCGTCTCGCCCCGGGGAGCCGCTGCCGCCTCGCCTCGACTCTCCTCGGCCCGGGGAGCCGCCGCTTGCAGAGCGCAGCTGGAACCGGACACCGTTCCGGCTTTAGACAGAACGTGAGAAACAAGACCAAGACAACCTACAGCAGTGATGACATATTCATCAAGGACAGACTTTGATCTCCAAAGCCTAGAAAACAAGGGCAACACCTTGCAACGTAAAGACAAGGCCTGGGATTGGACTGAGGATGAAATAGGGGACAACCTGGCACAGTGAACAACCGATTAAATTCATGTGGCAATGAAACAACTTTTGGGTGTCCTGGAAGTGAACTACCCTCACTATAATACTAAAATACACACACACAGAGGTCAAAAAGACCGCTGCCCAGGTTGAGACCCTTTCCCTGAGCACACATAGTAGTAGAAGCATGAAGTATGTTAATCACAAACCAGTCAGTATTTAATAGGTGTATTTGGAAAACCCTTTGATTTTGGGGTATAAAAGCAGCACAAAAACCTGCTGTTGCTGTGCTTCATTTGTGGAAAGGCCCACCAAGCACCCAGGCCTCAATAAATACAGGAACACTCCTCAACATGTGAAGATGGGTTTATTT